GCCGGGAAAAGGGTTATGGCGAAGATGGGGGACCTCGGCAAAAATGGGAGGTGTCGCCAACTGCCTTGAGTTTTCTGTGATGTGTTACCGCCAAAAAATGGGAGGTGTCGCACCTTTAATGTATATTGTAATTGAGCTTAGAGTTTTTATATGATAAAAATTAATTTACAAAAGATAATTAAAAATGATAAGGTGCAATCACGCGAGGACCACTTAAATGGCAGAAACATAACAAGGGATTGAACCAAAACGGAACTCAGACGACAATTATTATTTTTTGTAATAAATAAATAAATTGAAGTAACGAAACAAAAAACATTAAACGAAAGGAGACAAAATCCATAATATATTTTATATTTTTATACTCGATTACTCACTTAGCCATAAATATTTTATCATATCTTTTGAACGTTACTAAATATTACGATGTCGTGAAATAATTCAAAAAGTAAATTATATTTTTAATTAATATAATTATCACTCAGTATCAAATCTTATTTATATTCTAAAATAATTACAATTTAGATTAATATAGTTGTCACTTTGTTATATTTTTGGTTATTTTTGACTCCCATTAAAGATGTTCGTTAACTCACGAGCATTTTTCAACTTTTCTTACTTTTTTAATATTTAATTAATAAAAATATTATTATTATTATCATTATATAATATATAATATATATATATACACACATACATATAGGGGGTTCTTCATTTAATATTTAGAAAAGTTTAAAAAAAACTTAATGGATTTTAGTGTTTGAATGATTAAGTTTTTATACAATTTTTTGAAACAAATAAGTTATTGGAAATCTTTTTGGAACAAATAAGTCATTGGACATTCCAAAACCTATTAAATAACTTTTTGGACTATCTAAAACATGTTAGATACATTTTTAGGACCTATAAAACTGATTAATGTGGTAAAATAATGGAGAAAACATCAATGAACTTTCATATTTTTAGCGATCAAGTCTCTAAACATTTTTTGAATCAAAAAAGTAGTTACACCTGCACCAAACCCTCAATGAACATAGGTAGAAACATCTCCCTGAACACTTGCACCAAACCCTCATCGATGGTGGTTGCCATATATAGTGACGGTGGTGGTCAAACACAACATACAAACCCTCATCAAACCCCCCACCCCCATCTTTGTTTTGGAAATGGAATTTTTGTTTGTTTCATTTGGTTTGTTGTAATTTTTTCTTTTTGTTATTTCGAATATGGTTTTGTTTTCGGTCTCAAATTTGGGTTGGAGATAGTGCTTACGATGAAAGGCCAGGGCCGGCCCTGGCCACGTGCAGGTCGTGCGGCCGCACAGGGCATCAAAGCTTAAAGGGGCATCAAATAGTCATTTATTACTAGTTTTGAGTTTAATAATTTGGGAATTGGACAACTGAGTTTAATAAAAACAGACCCAAGACCTAGTAATGATGCATATTGAATGGACATCGTAGGAAAAAGTTGGAAAGTTGGAAAAGTTTTTGTTTGTATAAAGTTGTCTGTATGAATTAATCTGTTTATATAAGTTGGAAAAGTTTTTGTTTGGAAGAGTTTTTTCGCAGATGCAAGGAGCGTTTTTTTAGTTGAAAGGGATATGTTTGGGGAAAAAAAACTTGGCTTTCTATATAAAGCTCCCCTAGAAACTTAGTAAGTTACTAGATAAGTCACTTTCTATATCATTAAGCCACTATGAAACAGTCATGCATAGTTGAGCGAATAAGTTGTTAGTTCCATTAAACTTGTTAAGCTGCTAACAGATAGACTCTTAACCTTTAGTCGTTAGACCTGTAACCTTTTAGTTTTACTTTTTGCTTACTATGACAGTAATTTGGATGTAATTTACTATTTTAGTTAAAAACTAATTATAGTTTTCTTTGTCTTTTAAGTCCCATATATTGAAATAAAGTTTCTATTTTGCTAATTTCAATTTGGAAAAAGGAAAACTGGAAAAGGGAAAACTGGAAAAGAATGAAGCATGATCTTAATCCAGGATTTATCATTTTATATTTTGTATTCAGGGTTTTGGTTTTTATGTCCCTCCCATTGTATTTTTTTATTATAATTAATAAAAAATCAACATAAGGATGAGATACTTAGCTTGAATAGGTTCTAAACTGTTCAAAAAATCACAGGTTTCGTTGTTTGATTGGCTTAAAAAATTAGGCTTAGGGGCATTTTTTTATTAATTTCGCACAGAGCATCAAAAATCTTAGGACCGGCTCTGTGAAAGGCCACAGTGACCAGTGACTCATTGTCAGTAGAGTTCATCGAGGACGAATATCAATGGGAAGGGGGTAGGAAAAAAAGATGAATAATGTAGTGGCACATGACATCATCTCATGGGTGAAATAAAAAGACAAAAACACAAAAAAAAATATTAAAATTAATAAAAAAGGTAAAAAGACAACAATGCTCATGAATTGACGAATTTAACTAATGGTTGTTAGGTTTAGGGGACAGTAGGTGTAATGAAGTCGCAATTATAGTGAATTATAGTGTAATTATTTTAAAATAGGGACGAAATGTTCATGAGTTAACGGATTTAACTAATGATTGTTAGGTTTAGGGACCGGGAGTGTAATAAAGTAGCAACCACAGTGAATCAAAGTGTAATTATTTTAAAATAAGGACAATAGTTGACAGTGAGTGACAACCACATGAACCAAAAATATAATTTACTATAAAAGATTTAGGTTACGAGGTTTTGGGGAGATATGATGTGAAAATTATTCGAAGTAAACCACGATTTCAGGCCTCATGGTTTGTTATATATAATTATTTCCTCATTGGTATTTAAATATTGCTTTTTCTATTATCGTGGGTTTTATTTCGTTTCATTTTTCGTCCCTTTGATGACCCTTTGATTATTTTCCGATGCCAGTGAACATGCTCTGATCACTATCTCCAACAATTGGATCACCGGATTTGATGCCCCCAATAATATAAACTCCCCCAAATCCTCAACTTCCCCAAAACCTAGGATTTCACAGCTTCAAATCGTTGAAGTGTGCAATCCTCCAACTCTCGTATCATCGCCATCCATCTCAACAACGATTAAGGTTTCATAAAGGGTGGTTACGGTGTTGTTTACATAAGATGTGGGTTATATTTCCATATATTGATAATGTTTGTGTCGGGAGAACTGTAGTATTTGATGATGCTAGTTCTTTAGATTTACGACTATTGATTACATGCCTTTTTTAAGTTTTTACTTTTTTATTCAAATAATGTTCTTGAAGTTTGTGATGTTGATTATATGTTCTTGAAGTTTATTTCCCGTACAAATGAAAGAAATTGAAAAAAAATAAATGAATATGTAAAAGAAAAGAAGAGTGAAATGATGTTGGACTTGAAGACAATGAATGTGATGGCAGTATATGTATATGGCTTAGAAAGGAAGAGGAAAAGATGGGTGTAGATGCATCAGAGCAATTCCCATATTAAGCGTTATTCATGGGTGAGTTTGAGATTAAAGTTAATTAAGGGTCCAGATCTCTTCTTACGCTTCTCATGTTTTAATAACATTTCATATGTGGAAAAACCGGCCCAATCCATAATAACATTTCATAATAACGATTCATAATGACAGATTCATAATAACAATTCAATAAAAAATACATAATAACATTTTCGATCTTTTGACGAACTATAGACGAAAACCACAAAGGAGAAAACCAAAGACAGATACGAAAAACCAAATAAGAAAACAAAGAAGAAAACCATAGATGAAAGAGAAGTCATGAGATAAAGAAAGGTATAGAGAGAGAAAGAGTGATGGAGATAATGGAAAAATTCATGAAGATAATTTCAATTATTTAATATTAATAAGAAAATAGTGGAGATAATTCTAATTATTTAATAAAAAATTAAAATATTTAAAATATATTTCAAAACTACCATTTTCTTAGTTTTCTTAATCAATTCAAATATGAAAATTCCTCAACCATTGATAAAAAAGGACGACCTAGATGGGTTTGTGAGGTTTGTAATCTTCAAGTTGTTACCACTATATATAATGTTTTTGTGAGACCCATGAGACCATTTTTTTTACATTTGAGATTTCACAATAAAATATTGTGAAAGTTATCTTCACAACGTTTTTGTTGTGAATGTTCGAATTTTTTTACCTTTCTAGTGTTTTGTTATGAAGTTTCAAGTGTACAGTAGTGGTCTCACGAAAACAATTTGGTCTCATGTGAACCCAATCCACACACACACACACACACACATATATATATATATATATAGAGAGAGAGAGAGAGAGAGAGATAGGATCACGTGAGACCAACCTGTTTTCGTGAAACTACTTTTTAAATTTGAAACTTACATCAAAACACTGTGAAGGTAACCTTCATAGTGTTTTTGCGGTGAAGGTTACCTTCACTGTGTTTTGCTGTGAAGTTTCAAGTGTAAGAAACTGGTCTCATAAGTCTTATGAAAACATTTTGGTCTCACATGAATCAAACTATATACGTGTGTGTGTGTGTGTGTATGAGATAGAGTAAATTATATTCTTGGTCCCTGTGTTTTATTAAAAATACAGTAAATTGCATTCTTGGTCTATGTGGTTTAAATTAAAAATAGAGTAAATTACATTATTGTCCATGTGGTTTTAATAGAAAATAAATAAAAAATTAAATGACTAAAATATCCCTTTAAACTAGCTGAGTTAGCAGAGTTTTTTTTTTGTATAAAGTTAGTGACAAGGGCCCAATGCGTATAAAATGTAAGCCATAGGAATGTAATCTATAGATATTTCAAAACAGGGACCTAGAATATTAAAATACATAAACCACAAAGATCAATATTCTAAGGGTCTGTTTACTTGTGGCTTAATGAGCTTACCGGATAAATGGGCTTATTCGCACAGCCATTTTAGGGTGTTTACTTCGGGCTTATTCGCCCAAACATGGGCTTATTCACGCAGCAGGGTGCCATGACTTGTCCACATTAAGCCAAAAAAAAGACATGCCTACCCTTCAACAAAACCCACGCCTCTCTTTTCTCCTCCAATAGTCGTTCCTTCTCCTCCAATCTTCTCCTCCAAGAACCCTAATCGGCCGAAATAGTTTCTCCTCAAATCAAGGCTCTCTTCTCCAAAGGTAACTCTTCTCCTTATCTATAGATTATGCTCGATTTTGCTGCTCGAATTTGCTCGATTTGCTGTTCGATTATACTCGATTTTATCTGTTGATTTTGCTCGATATTGCTTCTGATTTGCTGCTCGATTGCTTTTGATTTGCTACTCGTTTTTTCTTCTGATTTGCTGCTCGATTTTGCTAGTATATTCTCGATATTTTTGGGTTTGTTTGATGCATCGATTGTTGTTAATATTTGCTTTATTTGCTACTCGATTTTGGTAGTATATGCTCGATATTTCTGCTCGATTTTGGTATCATCCAATTTTGCTTGCTTTGCCTGTCATGAATTCAGGTCCAACATTAGCTGCACATAACTTGCACATTCTTACATTATACTAAACAGCCCATAGTTAATCCTCAAGGGTAAATTGGTCATTTCTGTTATTCAGACTGTTGATTCAGATAGAAAAGTAAACAGCAACCCAAATTTATCCAGACAGCCAAATTTATCCATACAAGTCATAATAGAAATTTTGGTAAGCAGCCCCTAAGTTACTCTAAAAAAATTATTGGGGTTGGATTAGGAGGGGTAATGTCATCCATGACCGCGTCTGACCCTATTTCAGGTATGAAATAAATCCACGTCTACGCCCTATTAAGGTCAGATAGTAAATTTTGATATCTTGTCAAGGGTCACGGTGGACGTTGGATTCGTTAAGTTTTGTTCTCTTTATATACCACAGAGATCAAGAATCTAATAGGACGGGAACCTCAATCCCCATCCCTGTCCTCGATCTCTCTTCTTTATCCCCGTCCCGGTCGGAGAATAATGATAACATATCCATCCCCATTCTCATCCATAACGGGAAACGAGGACTTTTTCCCCGTTTATGTAAGCTATTTAAAATCAAATATTTGAGATACCATACATATTTATATCACATATATTTCCAATAAACTTAAAATTGAAAGTAATTTAATTTAAAAGAAAAAAATCACATCATATATTAAATAATAACCTCAAATCAGAAGAAATTCAATTTAATACCAAAAAAATTAACGTCACACGTACCAAAACGTATCGTGTAACATCCAAAACGATATCGAGTAATATTCAAAAAAATATCGACTAATATTAAAAAAAATATCGAGTAATTGTATTTTTATTTGAGATCCTAAATATTATTTACTAACATCTAAAAAAATAACAACTTTAATTCTAAACTTAGTTAGGAAATAGTGCATTATGAACTACCTATTTAATTGAAATAAATAATATATATATTTAATCTTTTAGTGTGTATATATATATATATATATATATATATATATAACGGGTATGGGATGGGGTGGGGCGTGAGTACGATACTCGTCCCCATCTCCGGTTTAGCAGGAAATCTCTGTCCCCAATCGGGACGGATGGATCGGGTTCCCCGACGGGTCAGTACTAATTCCCATGCCTATATTTTTGAATGAAAAAACCATTAATTTTTTTTGAATGAAAAAACTATTAAACTTTTGTTCTTTTAATGAAAAAACCATTAAACTTTTTTTCTTTGAATGAAAAAACTATTAAACTTTTTCATTTTGATTGATTAAATTATTGAACATTTTCTTAATAAATAAAGAATCATACTTTAAAAAAATAGTTATCTACATCCTTATAACCCAAAAAAATTACATTAACCGTTTGATAATTTATTTATTTAAAAAAATCAGGGTTTTAATCATTTAAAAAAAATTAATGATTTTTTTTTTCAAAAAATAGTTCAAAGATTAAAACATTTAAAAGAAAAAGTTTATTCTTTTCCTAATTATAAATAAACATGGATGGAAATCGATGGAAAGCAACTCTAAATAACGAATTATTTTATGAAAAAATTAAGTTTTTCGTCCTTGTGGTTTGTTAAGAGTTGCTGATTTCGTTACTATGATTTTGAAATTTCTATTTTCATCCCTATAGTTTATTATTTATTTTATTTTCATCTCTAAGTCAAAACACTATTTTTAGATTTGAAGGACTAAAATAGAAATGAAATGTAAATCATAGGCACAGAAAAACAAGAAAATTAAATTAAATCATAAGAACGAAAAGTGTAATGAATTATAAACCATAAGAATAAAAAATCGTAATTTCAAAACCACAAGAACGAAAAATGTAATGAATCATAAACCATATAGATAAAAATCATAATTTCAAAACTATAAGGACGAAAAAAGATATTTTCAACTTAGCACATTGTCTAAAACTATAATTTACTCTTATTTTATGGGAATTGCTATTTATACATCTTTTAATGTTAAAATCGGGTGAATTCATGTTAATACATGCAGGTTAAACAGTACCAGATAAGAACGCATTTAACAATATAATTATTTAATTAATAAAGCGGTGAAGATGAAAATGATTACTTTATTAGGCCTTGGCTCTGATGCGATTGATGAAGGTACAAATTCTGTTGCGCAATGTACAAGCATTTTGAGCACGAGGGTTATATAGAAAAAACACGTGGTCCTCCCCTTTATCTTCCCACATCTCTGTTACTCCTTTCCACCCATTTTCCTTCAAAATGGTTCTATAATTCCAGCCCCTATCCTTCAATATATCCTTCTCGCCAACACAAACCAACACCCTGGAGCATCCAAGATCCGCCACTTTCGGATCCATTTCCGGGTTAATCAGCGGGTCATCTAACCCGCTCGTATCCGGGTGGACAAACAGCCATAAATCTCTTACCGCTTTTGTCCATGGGTGTTTGTCCGATTCACACCCGATTCGATCCTTACCCCAAAAGTACGGGTGGAGCAGTATAATCCCTTGTAGATTAAGTTTAATGCTTTCAGACCCGACCCGGATGCCCATGTGATGGGCGATATTGGCGCCGGCACTGTCGCCGCTGAAGAATACGTGACCAAGATCGGAGTAATTGTTAAGCCATTGCTCGGGTCCATTTCCGTTAACGTGTTGCGCCACCCACTTGATTGCTTCCCAGGAATCTTGATAGCAGGTGGGGACGGGATGCTCCGGCGCCGTTCGGTAGTCAACGGAAACTATGACGACGTTAGATTCCGATGCGATAAGGTTTAAGAAGTTGTGGTAGATGGGGGACGCGGCGGTTTCGATGATGAATCCGCCGCCGTGGTAGTAGATGAGAAGGGGGAGTTTTGTGGTACTGGAATTCGTGGATTTGGGGATGTAAAGCCTAGCGGAGAGGGTTTTATTGGGTGAAAATAAGACGTCTTTGGATTGAACGCCGGAAGAAGGATCCAGACCGGCGGGAATGACATCGGTGCCGACGAGTTTTTGTACTCGGCCGTTTTTGTATACTCGAACGATACCAGATATTTCTTTGATGATATCATCTTTGATGATATCATCTGGTGATGAATCCATTTTCAGAAAACTTGGATTGAAGGAATAGATTTGGGGGAATATATAGGAACAGATTTAGCTAAGCATTAAAGATGATGCAAAAGGAACGAATTATCTGGTGTTTGTAAGTTGTACCCAATGCTTTGAAAGTTGTATCTTAGGACCTCAAACCAGCAGCCATGGCTGTCACTGTGCATGACTTTTCTACATCTTAGTTTTTGGTTTGATGTTACTGAAAAATAGAGACGGTGAAGGAGATTAGAGTTTTTGTTATTGAAAATAGAAAAATCTAAAAGAAAATTTTAAATATAAAGAATTCTTTAAAGAATGGTGCTTGTTTTTATGAAAAACTTTTTAATAGCCTCTTGTGTCTTATCGAACAAGATATTTTAGGGTCCGTGTGCTAAATGAAATGTTTATCGGATATGTATTTATGGATATCACTTACCTTACTCATTGAACATGACAAGGATTAAAAATTTTACCCGATAAGAGGCATAATAAGGACCGATAGTCTTACCCGGTAAATGAGGAAAAAGACTCTTACTTTATAAGAGCTTATCGAGTTTAAGACGTTTACCAACGATCCATTTTGATGTCCGAAATGTGTTATGATAAGGTAAGTGAGGTAATTTATCTTGTTGGTAAATGTTTATCTGGTATTGTGATTTTACTAAATATTTTGTGTTCACATGAGATCAGACTGTTTTCGTTAGACTCGTGAGTCCATTACTTTACACTTGAAATTTCACAACAAAACACTATAAATGTAAAAAAAAATATGAACTTTCACAAGAGTGAAGTCTAGAAATGTTATATACCGAAAAATATTTAGTAAGATCTTAAAACCACTTTAAGGTAGATCCACACCAAGAGGCTCCAAAATTGGTACCTAAGCTCCCAAAAATCGTTCCTAGGAAGAGAGAAATGGAGAGGGAGAGAAAATGAGACAAAACTATAGAAACCAAACATTTAAAACGTACCAGGTCAATCTCGCAACCTAGCCTGCGACCTAGGTCATGTGGCTAGTTGTCCGAGTTCCATCAGCGAGTTGTGCAGTTAATTTCACATTTGTAGGTTGCGGGCCAAGTCACACCTGCCTCGCCTTCCCGCACTGCAGTTGAATTTCCTAGGCCGTTCCTCAACTGTTTCTACGGCCATTGACCAGTCGTTTTCCCCAACCGTTCATCGACCAATTCTCCCAGTCGTTCATCGATCATTTTACTGAAAATTATGGGTGTTACAGTTTCTAATCCACCAAATTGAGGATGATTATTTTGAGCTCAAATAATATCATAATTAATTATAATATATTCAATTATAATAAAACCCGTTTATTATTATTATTTTAATATATTAATTAAAGTCATTGAATTAGTGGTTATGGTTAGAACTTATACTTCTCACACAATGAGGTTCTCAAATAATTACCATCACATATATACATATTAAAAATTATTTAAAAAATTCAAATATAATTTTTAATGTTCACTTTTCTATATTAGTTTTAATTTATTGATATCGAGGATGAGTATTAAAAATTGGAGATTGAGAAAATTAGAAAAATGTGTGAAAGATATTGAAAATTCGTTGGTTTTGGAGAATGTCGGAGATATGAAGAATTTGAGTGCGTTTGAGAGTCTTCTTGATTCTCAACGTTTTTTGTTATTATCTTTTTGAAAGAGAAGTGTGGGGGATGAGTAATATGGTGTCAACAGTATACAGACATTTTAATATATTCTTTAAAAATAGAAAAAATATTTTATGATTATTAATTTAGGATTTATAAATTAATTTAAACTTATATATATATATATATATATATATATATATAAGTATTTGAAAAATAATTCAAACATAATAATATAAAGGAATAATTCAAAACTAAACTTATTAAAGAAAAATACACAAATTGCTATAAACATTTACATGAAACGAAAAATAAAACAAAATTAATAAATATATTTTGTCATAATTAATTTATAATATTTGTATCGGTTTTAATTTATATGTTTTATAGATTTATTAAAACAAAATAAAATGATTGAGAAACAATAAAAGTAATAAAAAAGAATGTAGACAAGAATTCAAGTTCTTATTCAAGCACCTGAGTTTTTACTAAACTTGTGACTGGACAAAAACCTCTCTCCCATAGCAAAGGTATTTATAAAACCTTCGTTGTAGATGCTCTTATAACCATAGCTACAAAAGACGCTACTTAAATGATTGATAAGTAACCTGTAACAACAGTAAACTCAAAATAAACATTTCATAGCCTTTGTCCAAACCGGCAAATAAACATACTATCAATTGTCTACAAATCATCAAGATCTCAAGATTGCAGCGGAATTTAAAATAACACTGCTGAGATTTATTATAAAACTAGGAATAAGGTTCTAGGTGACTATCAACCTAGAAGAGAACACCCTCGCTTCACGCCTCTAGCTCATACTTTTCCCTTGCCCTTACTAGAGCTCTCAACGGTATTTCTGAAAGTAATTTCAGTTTTACAAAAGCGAGGTTTAGACCAAAGGTCTAGTGAATTCCCTCTACCGCAAGAGTATAAGAGGAAACATTTCATTATGAGACATAAAAAAGACAGTAATGCACCCACTCCAAAACATAAACACCAATACTTGTTGCAAGGATAGAACACACTTATGGTCATACACACTTGTGACAATTCATTTGGGCTCACACTTGCCCTTAATATGAGCTAAATGAAACGAATTCATGCACCCTGATTGGGTACACACTTCCCGTAGTTTCCAAAACATAATTGTGCATACTCACAAGACTAAGGGGTCGTTTATCTAAACACTTACCCGGTAAACACTTACCGATAAAATTCAACATTATCGCTTACTTACCAGACAAGATTTTATTCTCTAAAACGCATCGTATGCAACAATTTATCCTGGTAAGTGCTAACCATGGTAAGAGTCCTTGTCCTCACTTACCGGGTAAAACTCTCGATTATTGCTTTCGTTCTTACCGGATAAGATTCTTAGTCTTTGCCGTATTCATCCGGTAAAGTAAATTGACTTGGTAAGCGCCTACCCAGGTAAGCGTTTGGTAAACGACACCTAAGTTTAAGTCTTAAAGGCATATCTTTAAATCTCTGAATTGTGCTTATAAGATTAAGAGCCTCTGGTTCGTCTATCTAGAGCCTTTGGTTCATTTATCCAGAGCCTCTGGGTAAAGAAAATGTTACAAGACTAAGTATAAGTCTTATGGACTTATTTATCTCTGAACTGTGCTTACAAGACTAAGTCTAAGTCTTAGAGACTTATCTTCATATCTATGAACTGTGCTTACAAGACTAAGTCTAAGTTCTTAAGACTTGTCTTCAAAGTCTGAAGACCCTGAGTTCAAAGCTCGGATACAGAGCCTGTGGTTCGTTCAACCAGAGCCTCTGGGTCAAGAAAATGTTACAAGATTGAGTTCAGAGCTCGGATTCAGAGCTTGGATATAGAGCTCGGACACAGATCTCTGACCCAAATCTTCGATACAGAGCCTCTATTCGTCTATCCAAAGCCTCTGGGTCAAGAAAATGTTACAAGACTGAGTCCAGAGCTCGGATACAGAGCTTGCACACAGAGCTCACACACAAAGCTCGGAAACACTCAGAGCTCGGATACAAAGCTCGGACTAGGGGTGTACAAAAAACTGTCAACCCACAAAACCCGCCCAACCCAACCTGCTAACAACCCAATTAAACCCAACCTCCAAACCGTCCACCCGTCAATTAGGAAGGTTGAAATTGGGTTGAGCCTAGCTCAACTCGCCAACCCGTCGCTAATATATAATTTTTATAAATTATATATATATATATATATGTTTATTATGTGCGTGTATGTATATATATATATATATTCATAATGTATAAATTTTATATAATTTTTATTGATATTATGTTTGTATTTCATTTTAGCTAAACATATAGTTTACCAAAAGAGATTCACGATCAAAGAATGATGACAAATAATCTAATTAATAAAGAAAATTATTGAAATCCTTTTTGCAGCAACAACAACAACAAATTGATATTGTCGAAGAATATGAATGATATTGATAGATATTTGGTTGACGAATCCATCAATCTAAATACCCCGTCATTTGAGGTTGTACTTTAGTGGAAAGAAAATGCTTAATTATACTATTTCGCTACAACAATATTAGATCTTATATGCCTAAAATGTTTGAGCGTTCTAATATGATACTTTATAGGACGAATAAAGAAATATGACTTATCTAAAAGAGTTACAATATGTTTATAGGATAATTTTGGACATCTTTACAAATTCTATGACGCTTTTAAAATAAAATGTCGTATTAGTTATTTTATACGACACGACTTGAAAAAGTGTCATATGACATATGTGTCCTATAAATAGATGAGTTTACGGGACACATGTCAAAATAATTATATAAAATAACTAATACGGCATTTTATTTAAAAATCATTCTAAAATACTTGTTGAAACGTCCAAAAACGTCCTATAAACTGATTGCAACCTTTTTAGATAAAACACTTTATAGTATGATCTAAATTTAAGTTATATGAATTATTTTATTTGTCAAATTTATATAACTACTAACCCGCCAACCCAACCCAATTCGCCTCAATCCACAGTTGGGTTATACTTTTGAACAAGTTGGGTTGAGTTGAGATTTTTCCAAACTGCCATAATTGGGTTGAATTGTAAAAATGTTGTGAACCGCCAAACTCAACCCGCATATACCCCTAGCTCGGATACAGAGCCTCTGGTTCGTTCAACCAGAGCCTATGGGTCAAGAAAAGTTACAAGACTAAGTATAAGTCTTATAGACTTATCTATCTCTGACTATGCTTACAAGACTAAGTTTAAATCATAAAGACTTATCTTCGGATCTCTGAACTGTACTTACAAGACTAAGTCTAAGTCTTTAAGACTTACCTTCAAAGTCTGAAGACCTTGAGTTTAGAGTTCGGATACAGAGCTCGGACACAGAGCAAGACCAACTAGAGCTCTTATGCTCCTTAAGGACCAGAGCTCCTCTGGACTCACCAACCAAAAGCTTGCATCATATAATCAAAATACCCCATGGTAGAGCTCAGACATGGAGCTCGGATACATAGCTTGGACAAAAAGCTCGGATACAGAGCTTGGACACAGAGCTCGGATACAGAAGACATCAGAATTCAGACTTCTAAGTCTGAAAAAGAAGATTTCAAAGTTCAGACTTCAGACTTCTAAGTCTAAAAAAGAATACTTCAGATTAGGATCCAGTTTCCTACTTCATAATTTATTCTTTAATCTCTCAATTACTATGAAGAATGACTCTTTAAACTTGAATTTAAAAATGAAACTATATCAATAATTAGTTAAAATAAAGTTAACCCTAAAATAAAATTGAATTTAGAAATGAAATTATATCAGTAAATTGAATTTAAACTTAGAATTAAATCCCATTTTTTGGGGAATCAGTTATCACACGAATTAATAAACACAAGAATAAAATCAATTGCATCCTAAATTAGTGGGATTAATTGAATAAAAGGACACATGTCAATCAAATGAGTGTAATTGAACTGTTAATTTAAATTATGTCTAGATACGTGTTTAGGCAGGAAAACACTAAAATCGATACGTTCGTTCAATCAGAGCCTCTGGGTCAAGAAAATGTTACAAGACTAAGTTCAGAGCTCCGATACAGAGCTCAGACACAGAGTTCGAATACAGAGCCTCCGGTTCATCTATCCAGAGCCTTTGGGTCAAGAAAATGTTACAAGAGTGAGTTCAGAACTCGAATACAGAGCCTCTAGGTAAAAAAATGTTATAAGACTAAGTATAAGTCTTATAAGACTAAGTACAAGTCTTATAGACTTATCTATCTCAAATTGTGCTTACAAGACTAAATCTAAGTCTTAATGACTTATCTTCAGATTTCTGAACCGTGCTTAGAAGACTAAGTCTAAGTCTTTAAGACTTATCTTCAAAGTCCGAATACCTTGAGTTCAAAGTTCAGACACAGAGCAAGACCAACCATAGCTCCTCTGGTCCTTAAGGACCAGAGCCCCTCTGGACTCACCAACCAAAAGTTTGCATCATATAATCAAAATACCCCATGGTAGAGCTCGGATACAGAAGACTTCAGAGTTCAGACTTCTAAGTCTGAAAAAGAAGACTTTGGATTTCAGACTTCTACGTTTGGAAAAGAAGACTTCAGATTTCAGACTTTTAAGTCTGAAAAAGAAGATTTCAGAGTAGGATCCAATTTTTTACTTCATGATCTTCTTCTTTAATCTCTCAATTACTGTGAAGAATGACTCTTCAGACTTGAATTTTAAAATAAAACTATATCAATAATTAGTTAAAATGGAGTTAACCCTAGAATAAAATTGAATTTAGAAATGAAACTATATTAGTAAATTGAATTTAAACTTAGAAGTAAATCTTATTTCTTCGGGAATCAGTTACCACGCGAATTAATTAACCCAATAATAAAATCAATTGCATCCTAAATTAGTGAGATTGATTGAATAAGAGGATACATGTCAATCAAATAAGTTTAATTGAACTGCTAATGTATATTGTGTTTAAATACGTGTTTAAGCAGAAAAATACTAAAATCGACGATAAGATGACACATGTCATGTCAGTTACTTCTTTACTATAAGGAAAGATTTATTTAATTTATTTACGTGTAATATATAAATATATAATATTATATAATTATTGTAACACATACATATTATAATATAACACATACACATATATTTAAGTTACATTAATTATAT